ACCCACTTTTTGTCTAATTTGTAAATTGTTTTCTGCTGAGAGGGAGAAAGTCTCTTCAAACAAATGCTGTGTGTATGCAACTGAACCATGAACTTTCATCCAACCCATCACTTTTTTTGTTTCCTCCACTGTTAGATTGGAAGTCATCCCATCAGTATTTTGCCCAAAAATAAAATATGGTTATTCTTCCCATAAAAAATCAGTAGAGTAGTTCTAGTTGGGTCACCCTGTATTTTTTTTTTTATCAGAATGTTTTGCCTAACTAGTGAGATTTCTTCAGCAGGTAGAATTTCAAAGCATATTGACAACACTGGTACCAAACACTAAAATAGGCAAATTAACATGTGAGGGAGAATGCAGAATAAACCATTGACACTACAGCTGTATTTTATTATAGTAGTTACACATTAAATAATTAGTGCAAACAACACTTGATTATATTATTGAATATTTATAAGTGCACAGACATACTTGGGTACAGAAATACGTAATAAAGCTTTTCTGTACCTTAAGTAATGTGCAGAATTGACGAGATCCTGACTAAAACACCAATTTTTCAAAGTGTTCCTACTTTAACTCACAAAAACACGATTTGAAAAGTTATTTTCTTACTTTTTCTACATTCCCCACCAGTAGCTTGACAAGATTTTATTACAGTGAGCATTTAAAGCCTTGGTTACTGACTGTAATTGGCAAGTACAAACTTGTTATAGTCTACAAGCAACTCCAATGTATAAATAAAGGTATAGCTCAATAAAAAAAATATACAAAAAGACACGCCACTAATGAAATGATCCAGATAATAAACTATTTTTGTGAGGTCAACTAGTTGGACAATAAGAGGATGATCGCAGTTAAGTAGAAGTAGCTTAGTCACCTGAAATACAACTAGTTCATAGTGGATGAAGTGTTGATACAGTTCCAGGCACATCAGTGAACAGTGTCTGCACAACCAGGTGTCCAAAACAAACAGAATGGACTCTTTTGTTTGTTGAGGCAAAGTACATGGGCTACAATGGCAGAGTAGCTAAACAAAGGCCACTTTCCACTCCAGGCAATCTGATTATATGTCAACAACAATGAGCATCACTGTTGCTATTACACTCTCCTGTTTTTCAGGACACTGTAATTATTTCTGATGAGTTTAAGTTTACACAATACTTGGACAGTAGAAACAACTTCGTTTGGTGACTATCACCCTAAAATCTTTTGTGGAAGAGTCTATAGTCCTGACAAAACATAGCACTATATTTGTTATGGTGTGATGTGTCATTTGGGCGGCTGAACAATCACAGCAGGTGGTATTTGATGGGACTGTTACTGCTGCTTGATACAATGCTATGCTCAAGTAAGGCCTTCTACCTTATAAACTAATGATAGCTTACCAGACAAGACAGCATTTTCATGCAAAATAGATTTTGTTTTAATTCAGCTTGGAGATCAGGACATTACCATTCTCCCATGGCCATGCCAATTGCTGGATATGAACCCTACTGAACATGTCAGGTCTATCCTTGATCGTTCGTAGCAAATGTTCCAAACAACCAACATCGATGGACATCCTCATCAAAATTCTTTACCAGGAGTGAGGTGCAATCCCACAGGCTTAGATTTCAGATCTTGTAAATATGATGTATAACTATGTTTCTGGTTTAAATATTGTAAAGGGAAGATCCCCTAGATATTAATGCCAATCTTGTTCCCTTAGTTTCACATTTATATAATACAACAGCATTCTTTCTGGAGTGGGTTTCTCTTTTCTTATTAGTATGCTATGTGTCTATATGATATATGTAAAACATTAAATATTTTCAATTGGCTAACTTTTTTATTTTTCTTTCCAATAAAATGCATACAATCAATATAAGAATGCTTATTTCATGTTCTCTTCTCCGGTTGTTTAAAATAACTTTCACAATATTTTAAGTTACATTGAATTTCCATATTCATTTTCCATGATAATTTCACATTTATAAGGCTACAATGTATGAAAAAATGTTTAGTATCATAAAATAACATATATAAAATATTAGCTTGCCCAACAAAGTTGGTTCTATGTTTAGACTTCTTACTATGGTAACAGTCATTAAATATGGCCTATTTCTCGCAGGGAAAAAAAATTAATATTTGACATAAACACAGTCCTTTATCTTCTGTGTAGGGGAGGGAGTTCAGTAATTAATATTATATTTATTTTTGAACAAAATGCTAAATATTAAATACCTTCATTCTAAATTAAAATTACAGCATTAATGTGTATCACATTATAATAATTTTGTACAATGCCCTCCCAAAAATGTTAGAAATTACATTCAGATAACAATTCCTATGTACTGACACATTACTAGCTTGTAGAGTTGTTAAAGAGTATAGTACAAGGTTTTTTTTTATCACATATCTCTATATAAAATAAAGGATTTTTTCCCACAGATATTGACATTGTAAATCCTTAGACTTACTTCTGTCCCACCAGGGGACTACAAATTTGAACAAAAAATAATATAGATGTAAAAGTAAAATTTCTATTAGAATAGAAACTCAAGATTACTTAAACTTAACATGTATGATATGGCTTTCTGTATTTTCTGGCTACCCGCAATCATATGATAAATAAATTGTATGCATACCTCAACAGTTTTAATATAGTTTTTTAGAACCATTGTTCCCTCTAGAGACAAGAATAACTGATAAATGAACCCTACTGGTACCTCATTACACAAGTTAACATATATCCTACTGGTTAAGAGCTGGGCAATTAGTGGAAGTTACTAAATGTATAATCATTGGGCTTATCAACTGATTATTCTCATGAGACTTAGACAGTTGGAATAATTGAAGATAGTAGTAATCAAAAACACTAATTTAGATTAGTGGTTTACTTTTGTGAGTTATGACACTAATCAATTAAGCTTAAAAACCCTAAATTAGTCAAACATAATGAGAAATCACAACAGAAATATTTCAATTATTTAGATAGTGGGAATAAACAGAAACACTAATGTAGGACAATATTTGAAGGTTTGTTTGCTAGCCAAAAATTAAAAGATAGTTTTCAAACAATCAAAAGTTTGACATACAGAATTCAAGTAGTGTCAGATTATATTTTCTCTAGTTAACAGAAACTGTCTGACAATGTTTGAATAATAATCACACATTAAATGACACTCACGTGGAAAATTTGAGCTTTTTATTGGTATAATAGTTTTTACTTAAAAGTTTTTGTATTAAAAAACAAAAACCCACCACCAAAATGTTATGTGTAGTAACTCCTTACATGCATTAGAGCAGACCATTATAGTGGAGCACGTTTAGCAGCTGCATTACTTCAATAAAATGTACTGAACACATAGTGTATAAAAGGTAAGAGAAGTGGTGTGGGTGAATAAAATATAAACTAATAATTTTAATGTTGAAACAGGGCCACTCGTGTAACTCTGCACTCTTCCCCAAAGTAAATGTTTCATCAAAACGTTGACAAAAAATTGACTGATAATAACAATTGTGGTAAGTGAAAAACCATATTTTTATTTTATAATAAAATTATTATGAGTGTCAACCTACTTATGACAGTGACTGTTAAATAAAGATATGTTCTGCTTGAGTCAGCTACAGTTTTTAATTGACCACAATATAGTACTATTGCAATGCAAACTTAATGTATGTAGCTATATGAGTATCACATGTAGCATCAAATAGTGTATATAAACAAAGTTTTTGTTTTTTAATTTTATTTTTAAACTACATGTGAATGTTATTATGACATCATCAATAAATCATGCTAATTAGTACTATCGAAGGATCAAACCTCCATTTGTTAATGTGTTCCTAACCTTTGAAGGTCAAATCTACCCTTCATTACAATCCTACACTAATTTCAATTAGTTGATTATTTACATGACATTAATAGATGCTAATAGATAATCAATTATATTGATTGATCAAGTTAATTGTGCAGCTCTACTACTGGTACCTCATTATTCATTACACAAGTTAATATAACTGTTCAGAAAGAAATCTCCCTTTAATGACACATTTCACTAATAAATATACCTCTTTACATATGTTAACATAGTTGTTTAGAAATACAGTCTACACATGTACAAAGATACTTTAATACAGTGTTTAAGAGTGGCTGGAGGTAAGAAAGCAGAGGGTTGTTGCAAATGTAGTTCAGTCAAACTGGATTAATGTCACAAATGTGGTACCTCAGGGTGCAGTCTTAGCACATTTGCTCTTTTTGATTTACATCAGTGACATAGATGAAGGAATAGTCAATAAATTACTTAAATTTGCTGATGATATTAAGATCTTGGGTGTTGCTAGCTGTGAAGAAGATGCTACTGATTTACAAAAGGATTTAGGTCAGTTGGGCAAATGGATAAATGGCAGATGGATTGTAATTATAATAAATGCATGTGGTTTATCATAATTTGAATTATTATTATAATGTGAATGCAAATAACCTTAACAATGTTATGAAGGAAAGGGATCTTGGATGTAATAGTCAATTGGTTTCTAAAGCCATCCAAGTAGTGTGCTGTTGCTAGTGGTAGGGAAAATAGGATTTTAGGTGTATCCACAGAAATATTGAATACAAGTCTAAAGAGGCTATAATTTCATTGTGCAGTCACTGGTTAGGTTACATTTGGAATATTGTGTTCAGTCTTGGGCTCCTTACCTTAGGAAAGACATTGAATTGTTGGAAATGGTTACAAGAATGGTGCCTGGGATGGGTGGGTTGTCATGGAGAGGCTGAAAGCTCTCAAATTGTTAGAGGGATATGATTGAGGTGTTTAAGATTGTAAAGGGAATCGATAGTGTTGATGCATCATCTTTGTTCATATTTAACAGTGAGAATAGCAGGACTAGGGGACACAAATATAAATTTTGGCAAGGTAGGAGTCATCTTCAGCTAAGACAGTTTCATTTTTCTAACAGGGTGATTGGCCTTTGGAATGGGTTGCCTTTGGATGTTGTAGAGGCAGTAAATTTAAGTGATTTTAAGAAAAAGCTTGATAAGCATGTGAATGATAAGGGCTGGCTTTAAGATTTTTTTAAAAATTATTCTAATTTAGTTTATAGGATGGAATAGCCGTGATGGACCAATAGGTCCCATGTTGTCCCAAAACATTATGTTATGTTAAAGCTGATGTATGTTTTTCCTTTCTTACAGAAAGTGAACTATTTCTGTGAAAAGTAAGCCTCATGAAACTACACTGATTTTACTGGTGCAAACAATCACATCTGAGTTAACAAGAAACTTGTGAAAGATAACAAATGCCCAAATTTAGTCTGCAACTGTTAGTCCAGGATATCCATCTTAAATAAAACCTATTATTAACTTTCCTGGAATTCCCCTCATTGTTCAGTCAAAGTAGCAATAGTATCAACATTCAAGTATAATCAATTAATACTATTTAACTCATTAATGTTTCTCTGGTGTGTATGTTAAAACTGCATGGAACTATATTTTTTGTTTTTCACCAAGACTTGCAAAGATAAACAGGCCCCTTATATTTTCACAAATGAAACTCAAAAGCTGTACTGACTTCAAAGCCAAATGATACACACACACACACACACACATATATCTATGGTTCCACTAATTTTATAAACATACATTTAGCCCTTTGACTGCAGCTGCTTTAAATGTGTGCAGAATTTTAGTGAGCCATACATTGTATACAGCACACTTGCATTCAACTGCCTGAAATAGACTGTACCTTATCTGGTGAATCACCAGTAACTGGATTAAAGATTCACTCACAATATTCTATTATCCAGACATTAAGAGCATTTAAAAACATTTTAAATTGCTAATTAGTCTTTGTATGAATAAGAGACAAGATAAAATAGCTACAGGAAACATGAAATATCCTGTATGCCCAAGTGCAATAGTATAATTAGGTTAAATGTGCACCTAAGCACTTCTAACTTGAATATTATGGTGTATACCTATTTCTCATTGTTATTTTACCAAGTTATTCTTGCACTGCCAAGTGACTTTCAAAATCAAATCCATATAAAGAATATACTGCTAAGTAAAAACAAATTCAAAAGGAAATTTACCTGAATAATAACCAATGATACTAGAAATGAAAGGGTGTATTGTGCAAAACACTCAAGAATTGCATCTTATCTATCACAGGCCCCAACTACATACCTTATATCTTAATAAGCATGGATTTAAGGTACACAGGGTTGTACATTTTTTTGTATCTTAACCAGCATATGACATAAAAGTATATTTGCTGATAAACATGATTAAGCTTTTTAGATACTCATAATAGAAATGGCATAGTTATAGAATTACAGACATTTTTATCTGAAGAGAAAAACTTCACAGAAGCCCATCAACTTGCAGTTTTCAACTTTTATAGTTTACTGCTTTTCTGTTAATTATTACAGAATAAAAAATTTGGCTGAGGTTAACTTATAAAAATATATTACTAAACTTCACCTCTAATGCTTCTGTTAAAAAACATATTTGTGTTACACCACCATCTTGTCCTATCATAAAAAGAATGAATTCACCCACCACTGCATGTTCATTAATAGGATTACAGTTGCCATGCTAACTGAAAATTAATATTTAAAACTATGACACATATTCTTTCAGAGTAAACATCAGTGTAATTCAATGTTGTAAGAAACAGTAATTATATCAATAGCAATAAGCTAATATGACCTGCAACAGATGTTTATAGTAGATTCATAATGTGCACTTTTTAGGCTGCTTAGTATTACAAATGATAAATTGTTACCTTTCACCAAACATTTAGAAATAAGTAACAGATGATGTATATTTCTTACTATTCTTAAGTTCTCTGAACATTTACACTACCTTGGAATATCAAAGTAGCTACATGTACATTAGAAAAATTCCCAGGAACAATGATGTAATCTAGAGAAAAACAAACACAAGTTGTTTCAGGTCATCGCTGAAAACAAACGTTTCATTTTGTGTGGATACTTTGTCTTTTTCTTTTGAAATTCAGATGAGTCATCTTGCTTTGGGCACACAACAAAGTTTAGATCATAGGAAGTGTTTAGAGCATAAAAAACATTAACATTTTCTGGAAAAACCATATGCCCTTCAGGTAGAATTTGAGCCAAGCTGTAGTCGTCAGGGCTTCCTGACAGTTCATGTTTCATCAAAGCATTCTGAATGACTGCCCTAGTGTGGTCCCTATTGCTTAACATTATGCTCTTATACACAGCTGAACCACTTCCCTCACTTTTTCCCCTTTTATCGACACTTACCCTAATAATATAAAATTCTGTAGACCTGGATCGCAGAGGAGTTGTAGGTGACCCTGGCATCATAACTGAAGACCTAGAATTACCATGGACAAGTAAAGGAAGGGACAGACTGGAACCAGAATGTACCATGTCATTAGATGAAACAATACAATCAATTCCAGTGGAAGGCACACTAGTATTACTGTGATCATCATCATAGAACACACTACTGGAAGACGTAGTTGAAGTAGAAGAAGTTGAAAGGTTTTTCTTGTGTCTAGTGTTTCTGATGTTCTTTGTACCATTTCCTGTTTTATCACTGATCACAGAATTTTGGGGTTGAGGTTCTATCAAACATGACAGTCTATAGCTCTCATTCTCATCAATGACTGGAACAGAATCAAACCAAGCAAGAAACCTCTCATCTGGAGTTGTGGTGTAATTTTTTGCTGCACTTTGAAGTAGTTTAATCTGAGCCAACACTTCAAATTCTTTTCTTTTTTTGTCAAAATTGATCAAGCCATCTTGATTCTTATCAGGAATTGCTGCATCTATCATAGTAAGGTCTGTGAGGAATGTTCCAAGATAAGGAATTGTGCCTTGCATTGGGCCATGATTCCCAACTGACAATTGCCTTTGTAATGCTTTCTGTAACTGGTGGTCATCATCTCCCACAACCTCCACAAACTTGGCTGACCCTTCTTTTACAAGCAGATTTCTGCAAATTATTTGATTATTATCTTCTGAAAATATTCGTGCTAGCTCATTATATACTTCAAATTTTTCTCTAGGAACTGCAAGCCAAACTTTCTTTAAACGATGAATAGCATTACTCTGCAGGGCAGCAACCACAGCTTTCAGAGATGAAAAGTTCTTTAAAAACCGCAGCTCTTGAGCAATATCTATCCATTTGGAAATCACACTTGCTCTTACTGATAATTTCATCTCAGTATCATATAACACAGTTGACATAACACTCAAGGAAACTGCATTGAACTGGTTTACTGTGGCCGTAACAGTAGAAGGAATTATCTCCCAATCTGTGTTTTTTTCTCTTCTCGACCAAACTGATCCAAGGCACTGATAGGGGACTAGTTTCTTGAAAAGTTCAGCATCCATCCACGTAAGCTGTAAAGCAAAATGATCCTCTGGAATCTCAAAAAAATTATATGGCATAACAACTTCAACATCATCAATGTCTACACTTTCCGTGCTTGAGTGACACCAACCAACCTCTCTAACTTTTTCATCAGTCTCTTCTTCACGTTTAAATTTATCAAGTTTGTACTGTGCTCTGAGTTCTAACTGTCCTGTTGGAACAAACTGTTTAGCAAACTCAATAACCTGATGTAGAGCAAAGTATTGTGGAGGATCTTTAAAATCCTCAGAATACATATCTAACCAGACATGTAGGACCTGAATTATTGTTTTTTTGTGTTGTTCTTTAATGTCTTCTTTCATTTTCACTTCTGTACCACACAACTGCTTATACCTATTTAGAAGTAAGGTGACAACTTTTTGTGGGGTTGCAAATGACCGGTAAGTTGCCAGAAAAATAGTGATGTATGTTGATTCCAGTTCACCTGCATCAGATGCCAAACTTTCCACTAATTTATCCAAAGTGCCTGCTTTTATGAATTTTACCTGAACCATTTCCCACTGTAACTGAGTCTGAGTGTCCTCTATCACATTTGATTCTTTATTTTCAGGCAAGGAGGCTGGATGGTAACGGACCTTTTTAAGATAAACACTATATGTTGCATTCTTTGTTTTCTCCTCTCCCCATAGTCGCCACAAAGAATGATGATGATCTTCTGTCACTCCCACTGGGTTCATTCCAAGAGTTACAATTACATCAGATCACCAAAATTATGTACAAAAAAAAAAAAAAAAAA